GCACTGACTGCATCTACATCACTTTCACCCTTCCCTCTTCCCTCTCGAATTCCTCTCATGTCCCTGTCCCAAATTCATGATCTCTCCTTTAATTAGTAATATACTCATGTATGTATGTGTGTGTATATATATATATAATATATATATATATATTACATATATATATGCATGTACATGTGTATACATAACCACAAGGGTCCATTTAGCTTTGTCTATATGTACATGTGTCCATGTTTGACCACTTGGAATTGTATAACCTATGTGGGAGTTCATTCCTCAATTGAGTCTTCCTCTCTCAGAAGCCACTGACCGCCTATAACTCTTCCTATAGGGGTGGGACCATGTGCAACTAAGCCTGTCTGAATTGGCATGTCACCTTTGGTTTTTTTGTCAGGGTCCTGCCATCTAGCCTAGGCTAATCTTGAATTCCCAACTCAATGGGGAGCAGATGAAATCCTGAGTGAATGCATATTGTTGACATGTGCATGGTCATGTCCAAGGCTGGAATGCCTCAGACCCATGAGCAGCAAGGCCTTCCCCTAGTCTGAGTTTGGCTGGTTACAGTGCATACAGAAAGTATCAACCACAACTTCCTCCTCCCAGATAACTGCAGTCTGAGACTACTCCCCTAAAGAGAAGCCACCCCAAGATTACCTAACACACCTTTGTTCAACTGTATATAAGAAACCCACACCCTTGTCCAGATGTATATAAGAAATGTGCTGAATTTCCAGGATGCGGGTGCACTTCCATCAGAGGGCACACCCACCCTACCCCAGCTTTTTCTACTATGTGTCTGTCCTTTCTTCATTCACTATGAACCCGGTCAGGTCAACTCCAAAGTTATATAGGCACAACTCCCGTACCCCAGCCTTCTGAATTCAGACCACTTCCTGTTGTCTGCAAGCCAAAACGTAGTACACTCGGCTACTTCTCCAGCACCACGTCTGCCTGCATACCACCATGTAGCACCATGATGATAATGGACTGAACCTCTGAAAATGTCAGCCACCCCAGTTAAATGTCTTATAATGTTTAAATGCTTTAAAAGCATTGCCGTGGCGTCTCTTCACAGCAATAGAAACCCTAACTAAGACACTCCCTTTGTTGTATCTCTTATTGGGCTTTGAAAAGACAGTAAACAGACTACTAACCACCTTGCCACCGTCTTTAAACCACAACTATCAATGTTAACCTACTGCACACTCATCTTTCTCCCACCTACAGAGAAGTAACAATTAAATGTTTACATAGAGGTTTTCTCACCCGAATAGACTGAATTTAGGAGCCTTGCTTATTCTTGCCAAGTGCTCTGCCACTGAGCCGCTGATCCACACACCACTAGCCCTGCTTTATGACTTTTTTTTTGAGGTGCAGTCTCACTAAGTTGAGTTGCCCAAACTGGTCTTCAACTCACTCTGTAGCCTAAGGAGACCTTGAACTTGAGATCTCCCACAACTAAGATTACAAGACTGCACTACCAGGCCCTGGTGTTACATTGTTGTTGTTGTTCCCTATCTGCTGCTGTGACCAAAAACAACTTAGGAGAGGAACAGGTTTACTTGGCTCAAACTTCTGTCCTATTCAGGGATACTACTGCTGTGACGGAACATCATGTCCAAAGGCAACTTGGGGAGAGGGGAAAGCTGTCAGGACAGGCACTCCAACAGCAGAAACCTGGAGGAAGAGACCATTGAGGAATGCAGCTTATTAGCTTGCTCCACCTACTTACTCTCTTCTAGAACCCAGGACCACCACCTCAGGGCTGGGCCTGCCCCCATAAATCACTAATTAAGAAAATGCTCTACACACTTGCCTATAGCCTGATCTTATGAAAGCAATTTCTCAATCAGGGTTCCCTCTTCACAGGACTAGAGCGTGTGTCAAACTGACATAAAACTAGCCAGCATAACTTCTCAGTCTCAGTTCATCATTGAGGGAAGTCAGGCAGGAGCCAAGCAGGAACCACTGGCCCATGCTCAACTAGCTTTCTCATACAGCTCAGAACTCATCTGCGTAAGAATGGTGTCCTTCACAGGTGGCTATCAACCGTAAGGATACCCATAGAGACAAGGCCACACAGGCCAGTTTGATCTAGGCAGTCCCTTGAGGTTCCCTCTTCCCACATGACTCTAATGTCCAAGTTGACAAAACTACCCAGGGCAGAAAACATGTTCAAAATGATGCACCAAAACCCAACCTGAGGGTGTACATCTGTAATCCCAGCCCTTGGGAGGTGGAGCTAGAAGGAGAAGGACAGCCTGGTCCACAAGATTCCCTGGCTCAAAACAATAATGAGAGCAAAGAGCAAAGTCAGCAAAATCCAGACATTCAGCCTGGGCTACACTGTTGGTTTCTGCCGCCAAAGCAGTTAAGTTACATCATCACCTGTCGCCAGGTGCCTTTCCACTGTCAGCTATGCCACAAGTGCACCCCTTAAAAGTGCACCCCAGGCACAATTTGCTATCTTGCCTCTTCTTGCCTCTCTTCTTCCTCTTGTTTCTTCCATCTGTCTGTCTGTCTGCCTGCCTGCCTCTCTCTGTCCGCACTCCGACATGGCCTTTCACTCTTACACGCTCCCCCTCCCCAAATAAAGGTCTCGCATTAACCCTGTTGCACGTGACATGTTTGCTTAGTGGCATACATTGGCAGGGCCCGCCGAAAGGTACCCACTTCGCCTCTCTTTCTTATTTATCGTTACATACATGATTCCCTGTCTCAAAAAGACAACGAGGCCCAAAAATAAAGTTAGCAAAATTCCTTAAAGACATTTACCTGGTCTACAGGAACACCAAAATATGCCAGCATGTTTCTTAACAGATTCAGCATGAGCGACATTGGTGAAGCAAGTTCAAGGAAACATTGTTCGTTGGTACCTTAGAAGAGAAGTTATTATTACTCTTACAATCAACTGACACGTAGATCGCACTAAAGAGCCTAAAGAAACCTTTCATGATATACTACACCATCAACTGACTGCTCCTGAGGAACTTTCATCTTGGAGGAAGAGGAAGAGAAAAAAGGGCGCGCTGTGTGTGTGTGTGTGGGGGGGGGGGGGGGTACGAGAACATTAACTAACCATGAAATTTTACTGTTACGTGGAAACCTTACAGTGTTTGTCAAGGGTCCCTGACAAGTCAATGTGCGACAGCCAAACTACACGGCCCCGGGAGCTCTGCCGCCCCCGGAAGCCTTCGGAACCGCACCGCCGCTCCTTCCACACCCGCCCCTCCGTCACCGACCGCGGACCGGAAGCCACCGGTGCGGCGGAGCCCGAGACGCTCACCCTCCCGCTGCATTGCACGCCGCCAGGGCGCCCGGGACCGCTCCGGCAGCGGCGCCACACGGGCGCGGGTCGGCCGCCAGGGCAGGCTCGGAGGGCCGGATCCGCTCTCCCCCGGCCGGCCCGCCGCGCCCGCCTCCAGGAACAACTATCAAGCTCCGCGGGCCCGGACTCGGCGCCTGTCCCCATTGGGCGAGACTAGAGAAGGCCGCTTGTGATTGGAAGGCCAAGAACCAATAGCCGCCCCAGTGGGGCGCATGCGCAGAATGCATTCCGGCGGTAGTTGGGTACCGCTGCATCTTCATGCATCACTCAGTCCTTTGTCGGGAAGGTATTGCCTTCTACACTTACCGCAATGGTGACATGCCTTCCCAGCGTTCGACGGATTCCGCCATCGGACTTGCGGGTGTTTGGTCATTCTGCAGAAATACCTAGCCATAAGCTAAATGCTGGAATTGCTCATGTTGAGCCACAATATCCAGTCTAGTTTGTTGTGTACCTGTATTTAGTGTGTGTGCACGCCCACACGTGCACGTCAAATTGTCAAAGGACAATGTGTGGGAGTTGGTCCTCACCTTCTACTATGTGGGATCCAGGGATTAACCATGAGACCTTAGGTTTGGTGGTAAGGTGCTTTTCCCACGGAGCCATTTCGCTGGCCCTAAGACAAGACTTTTACACCTTTACATTTCAAACTACTGAAAGCTAGTGAAAATCAAGAAGGGTCTCATTAAATTACCGCCAACCTCCAAAAACAAAAACTGTTTCTTGCTCTTTGCATTGACAGTAAAACATAATGGAAAGCAAAGTGCAACACACTGCCTGTGTATCTATACTTGCTACAATCCAATCTAAAAATTGATAATTACAAAACCAGTTAAATAATTCTAAAGATTTGGCATGTCATGAGGACATGGCATAAAGTTCTGAAAAATCTTAAGGATAATACATTTCTCTGATTTGTTAGGAATGTTTTCTTAATCCTAACAATTTTAGTTGGTAACAATAAAGCATCGATGTGTAATTGAAATATGTCAATCTAGAATAGGAAATCCAAACTAGAAAAGGTGCAGCATAAAGGAACACAGAACTTCTAAAAACAACCAACCCAGACTGCATAAATACTCTGGAGGAATGTGTTGTTTTGCTTCTTTGTTTGGCAGTTTTTGTTGATGATGATGGTTTGGCTTTTTGAGACATGATCTCGCGTTAGCAAAGGTTGAACTGAAAGTGCTGCCCTTGTGTCCTGAGTGCTGGGATTATTTATGGGTCAGATCAACACAAGTCCTTGAGTCTTGAGTGTGTGATGTCTTCAGCTGTAACAGGGATGTACCTTCAATTTCTGAGAGGCAACTGAGGGCACCAGCAACAGCCTAAATAGTTTTTGGAGTCCCTTAGATTAACATGACCAACAACTTGAAAGGACGTTTCTCATGCCTGGTACTGGGATTTTTATTTTATTTATATATATATATAGCTCTTATGGAGACCATTATCACTCCAGTGGCATAATCTCACTTAAACTATATAGGTAAGTATGCATATATACTCATTGTATCACATGTAAATTTAGTAAATATAAAATGACTCTTTATGGTTTTTATTATGCCTAGTACTATTTATGCCCCCATCTCCTCCTCCCTACCCCTTCCCAACATAAATCTTACCATCCCTCCCCACCCCAACCCTCCCGACCATTTCTCCTTTCTCCCTTCAGACAGACCACCTCTATCCTGCCATCTGCTCAGTTGCAAAGGAAGTGGGGAGGGAGGTCATGATCCCTAGCAAGCAACCATGGACAATCTTGAATGGAAGCAGCTGTGCCAGGGAAAGCAGGTAAGTTACCTGTATCTGAGACATTAGGGGCTGGTGGGTCCTTGGGAATGCGGGCTCTGGGGTCTGAAGTCCCCTAATAACTTTTCGTTTTTTAAGTAACCACTACCAGAGTTAGAGAGATGGTTCAGCAGTAAGAGCACTGGCTGTTCTGAGGACCCAGATTCAATTGCCAGCGCCCACATGGCCACTCACAACTGTCTATATAGCTCTGCGTCCAGGGGATCCAACACCCTCACATAGACACACATGCAAACTACGAATGCACATAAGAATAAACTAAGTTATTTTAAATATTCCTATATTTGACTTTATACCAATGTTTACATACATGTTATGTGTATGCACCATGTGCATGCCTGTTGGACCCCTTAGTATTGTGTTTATAGATGGTCATGAGTGCTGGCAACTGAATTCAGGTCCTCTGGGAAAACAACTGTTCTTTACAGCTGCACTCTCTCCAGCCCTCACATTTTTACTATAAATCCTATCAACTAAATATCTTTTTCAATTACAAGCTAAAGTTTATTTTTTAGTAGCTGTCTATTGGAACAGGCCTGTAATCCCAGCATCCAGGAGGTGGAAGCAGAATAGAGGTGAAGACTATCCTTTGGGACAGAGATCTTGTGGTCAGTCTGTTCCCAAGGTTTTTATTTGCCTTGGTTTTGGTTTTTTGTTCAAGTGTCTCACTGTATAGTCCAAGCTGGGCTCAAATTCACACTCTTCCTCCTCTACATGAACTGTTTATTCACCTCTTAGTAGCTGTGATTACCTACCTGTTGGAACACAGTACAGGTATGGAGTCATATTAGAATTCTGAGTGCTTGTGAGAACACTACAAAGAAAACAAGAATCTTGTCACCTGTTTCTTCAAAACTCAGAACTGTTTTTTGAATATTTCCTTGTGCCTCTCAGGTTTACTGGATAGGAGTGAGTTTACTTCAGATCCCTCATCGTTTGCTCAATTAAATGTTTATGCATTTATGGAAAAACGTTTTTACCACGTATGACTCGTCCTTTTGATTGTATACAGTGTCAACTCATGAGAACTTTACTCGTGATTTCTAAGCCTCAGAGTATAAATTGCCTGGGGCTCCAAAAAGTTGGTTATTGCATGAGATCCCATCTCATTTCTCTGCTCCGTTTTCAGGTCCCACGCCTCTAGAGCAGTGCCACTACCCAATGACCAGCACAAGATTGGAGCCCACAATATTATGTCAGAGTGGGGAAGAAGTTCATGATGCCCTGGCCCTCCCTGAGGATTTGTAGGCAGGCAATTAAGGAGTTGCTGAGGGAAGGGGAAGATTTTCTTCAGTAGAATAGCCATTGGTCAGCTGTCCATGCTGCTGTAACAGTTTTAGTGTCTTATGTTTATGTGTACCACAAGCTTGCAGGAGCCCAGAGTTCAGGTGATGGCATCAGACCCTTACAGACTGAATTACAAATGACTATGTGCTGCCATGTGGGCAGCAGGGACCAAGCCCCAGTCCTCTGCAAGAGCAGTAAGCTCTCCTAACCTGAGCCCTCCCCGGTCCCTGCTCCAGGACCTTTAAGCCCACTGATTCAAAGTTCCATGAACAGCCTTGAAAAGTCAACATCCAGTCATGGTGGCAGCCTGGCAAACATGACAGGGGGAAAATGGAAACAGAGTGCCTTCAAAACCCAGGCACGGAAAACTCATTACTTCCTCCTATTTGAAGACTTTCTTCTCAAAATTCCTCAAGGCTTACATTCTTTTCAGGATTCTTTTTGCAAAACTCCTAGAGCAAATCTGCACTAGCAGCTATCACAATTCTACCTTCAACTCCATGTTTCCTTTCACTGGAAATGCAATTAAGTCCATTTGAAGCATTCCACAAACAATGTAAGTCACCAGAAGCATGTACCTAGTTTATTATGACAAATAGAGTAATGCTGTATTACAGTGGAGCCATGCTCTTCCTATTTGGACAACAGTAGCAACAGAAATTGGAACAGAAACTGTTCCTGCAGTTATTCAAAGTAGCAGAGATGATGAATCAGGCCAACCAATGTAGGAACTGAACAGTTTCAAAATCAACTCAACTCATGCCAAGTCAAACTATTCTATGTCCATTCAAACACAGCATGTTAGAGAAATAAATTACATGTGTACTTTGAGGTGCTCTAAATGAGATGTTTGCCCCATGTCTCAGGCATTTAAACACTTGATTCCAATTGGCTGCCTGGGAGGCTTAGGAGGTGTAGCTTTGATAGAGAAGTGCGTCACTAACTGTCAACTTTGAGATTTAATAAAAACCTTACCTCTGGCCATCCCTGATTCACTCTCTGCTTCCTGTTTGTGGCTCAAGATGTAAGCTCTCAGCTTTCTGGTTGCTGCCAAACTTCTCTGCCATGAGAATGGTAGGCTCCTTCTGAAACCCAAAGCCCCAAATAAACTCTTCCCTACTATAAGATGCCTTGGGTCATGGTGTTTTATTACAGCATCCAATATCAAACAGATACTACTCCCAATCTTGTAGAGCATGTATCAGGATCTAGTGTTCAAGAAACTACACCTAGCCACACACACATACCCTACACCTAGCAACACACACATTCCCCTACACCTAGTCACACACACATTCCCCTGACAATGAATTGTCTTGTCTCCATTTGCCATCCTATTTAGCAATTTCATTTCAACAAGCCAATATTCTTTCTTGAATTTAAAAACTATTTTTTTTAAATTAAAAAAAAAAATTGCTTCTTTAGTAAACTTAGGGTATACCTGCAAAGAAAATTTTAAATCAAATCCAGAAATTCAGAAAGCTAGCCAGGCCTTGAGTTCAAGGTCAGCCTGGGAGATACAGTGAAGCCCAAGCCACCTTAGTGTAAGATCATCTCTTAAAAACAACCTGACAAATGGAGCATGCTTTTGCGCAGAAAACCTATAAAAAGTACTGTTTTAAGTTACTAATATGACACATCCTTTTTTACAAATGTTTATTTCCCTATCAAAGATTTCTGTTAAGTTTGCAATTTGTCAGAATGTTCCAATTTAAACCAGGCATAGTAGCACACATCTTTAATCTCAGCACTCTTATTTAAAAAAAAAAAAACAAAAAACAAAAAAAAACAAAAAAAAAAACTGATCTAGAAATTCTAAGACCACTAGAGCTACACAGCAAAACCTGCTTCAAACTTTACAAGTTTGTAAACGCTGTGATTCCTGGGCCAGCAAGGAGATGGGTGGAGGACAACTGCTGCCCAGCTTCACGGGGGTGGGGGATGGGGGATGGAGGTGGGGGTGGTGGGCGGGCACGATACTGTACCCTCCCCCCAAGCCGTGCGCTGACCTACCTCCACACTTGCACACCATACACATCTATACACAAAAGTGCTGGAAGGTGGTCAATTTTTCATAATGGGGAAATGGCTCATGGATTAATAAAGTGCCTGCGGCTCTTTCAGAATCAAGTTCAGTTCCCAGAATCCACATCAGGTGGCACACAAAACTACCTGACTCTGACTCTAGAGGATCCAATGCACTCTTCTGGCCTTTGTGGGCACCAATACCTACACCCGCAACACACACACACACACACACACACACACACAAAAACACATCCATCCAAATAAAAAATCTTGTAAAAAATCAATTTCTACTTCGGTAACAATGTTTTAAAGGTAAAAGAGTATTTTATATTTCTTTCGTATTTCCAGTAATTTTTAAGAATATTTCAATTGTAGATCTAAAAGATAACAACTTAAGAAAACAACTCAGTTATTTTGTACTTTTTAGAGGAGCTGGCTGGGGGTATGACTCAGTAGAGTGCTTGCCCAGCATGCACAAAGCCCTGGGTTCAGTTCCCAGCACAATATAAAATGTGGCCAATTTTTTGTGTGTGGGGGGGGGACAACAAGATACAGCTCTGGGTGACCTCAAACTGATAGCCCTGAGTGCTAGGATTGAAGTTCTGTGTGTTTTTGACTGTGGTGTATACCTTTAATCCCAGCACTCAGGAGGCAGAGGCAGAGACCAGCCTGGTTTACAAAATGAGTTTCAGTACAGCTTGTCTTACACAGAGCCTGTCTCGAAAACCCAAACAAACAAACAAAAAACAAAAAGTTCAGTGTGTTTTTCTTTTCAAGGACTTCTCTTCTTTGATGACCACTAACCTGGAATTCCTGTGTTTTCCAGTATGGCTCACTAAACACTACATGCATTCTCATCTTCCAAGGAAAAGAAAAGTGATTAAGACAGTTTTGAAAAATCTTTAAATAAAAACATTTAGCAAACCACATACCAAGTTTACTACACTTGAGTTGATATTCTAAATTCTAGAAACAGGCCATAGAAAAACAGCCGAGTATAAAGTACACCCAGGAACAGCCTCCAAATCAGGTAAACAGACAACAGCTATTACCACTTAGGACACTTTATTGGCATATGACAATTTACAAGGGTCCCTGTTGAAATATACACCACACTTGAATAAGAATCATTTAGCCAGCTACATTCATTCTCATGGGGTAATATTTTTCCCTCAAATTATAATTTAATTCCCAACACTGATTTTTAACTGTGACAAAAGGGAACAATAACAATTTCAATTCCTTTAAATAGAGTGCAACTGGAAAAGGCTTTGCTTTTTATTAAAATGCCTAAGATGTTGAAAAGCATACAAACCTAAGAATTGAGTCATGGCCTTCAGAAACTGCTTTCTTTTTTTTTTTCTGGAAAAATCCTTTGGTTCATTTTCATTTCTTTTCTCTGAGCAAAGGAAGTACATTAATGCAGCCACTAACAGTTATTTTCCTGGCACTTATAATCAAGTAGCTTTACCAAGAGAAGCCATCCAGCTTTGTAACATGTCATGAATTGGGAAATAAATAGTGATCTCAAAAAATACACACAGGTTGCTTTACGTTTGGCTCTGAAAAACAGAAGATTCACAGTGGGGTTCTACTGAAGAGTTCTTATCACCATACTTTAATGTAGTGGGATCTTCTTTTTTAACTTTAAAATGAAAGCAACCAAAGGTTACAGCAGTGCATTCGCACTTAAAATATAACCTGTTACTCCCTATTAAATTATTTTTCAGTAAATCTACTACTTTTCTTTGTAGAAAAAATAAAGGTAAACATGCCAAGATTCGGTGTAAAACCAACTGTTAAAATAAAAGTTAAATGTATTCATATAAAACAGAATGGTATGAAAATTGTGAGGAAATTAAATACATATTGCTCTTATATTTAAGTATTAATCTGAACAGGATGGTATTAATTATGTCCAGATTGATGCAATAAAGTTGCTTTGCAGATATTTTCTGATTTACTAAATAATTCCAGATAGACAATTAAGGGGAGAAATCATGCGATACTGAGTGAAAACCTTAAACATATCACATGTTGACTTTTTGGTTTTAATTTTGTTGCCAAAGGCTCTTAGCAAATGTCACTAGATATTCAAAGTCTAAGACACATTGTAAATCATCAAAACAGAGAATTTGAAAGAGCCATACACTTACAAGTTTTAAAAGTTTACATTAATAGAACAAGCAATATCTCCTTTAAATGCAAAAGTATACAACTAATTTGATGCAATATGGCTGGTTTAACATGTTTAGAAAAAAAAAAATCAGTCTTAGCATGAACTTTATCCCTCCAAGGGCTATTAAATAGCAAAGAAGATTATCTATCTCTTTAGGTAAAGTAGAGTACATGAAAAGAAAACGGTCATTTTATAAACTTAAAATAATGGAGGAAGGGGGGTGGAGGTCAGATCAATGCTACAAGCTTCCGGTCAAAATCTTTTATTGGTAACATTAAGAGAAAACAAATTATTTAACTACTAAACAGTATGCTGGATCTACCTAATTATATGGTTAAATTATGGACTAATCTACAGCTGTTCAGAGTATCCAATAAATATGTAAGCTATCCAATCAGGTACTTAATGACTGCACCAAATTATGCTTCAGGATAAGACTCCCAAGTTTTGCTGTTTTTTGTTTTTTAGAAAATACAACCAGGGCTGTGGAATTAGGATTTTTACTTACACTGATATTACAAACCAGTTTCTCTCTCTCCTAGGTGGTTGGTATCTAAGACCATGACTCAAACTATCAAATGAGAATGGAAGAGAATATTCAATTTTGAATTCATACAGGAAAGGCTCTTAAAATGCTTTTACAGGCCACTGCTTGCTTTCAGTAAAAATACCACTTTCTCAAACCTTCCTAACTTTTCATAATTTGTACTTTTTAGCTATTAACAAAGCTATTGTCTTTATATATTTGCTGAAGTGTGAAACTAGTTTTAGTTTAGCAGAATAGCAACTTTTGTGGTAGTTTTGAAAATTAGTCGCCCTACAATGTAGTGTGTTCAAATTAAAAAAGATGTTAAACAGATGTGTCCAGTTAAACAATTAGTGTGGTCACTATAAACAACGCCTGGTCAAGGTTTTGTGTGGATTTGTGCAGAGCTGACGTTCACTTCAAAATCAAACATTAACAAACAGGGAGGCAAGAGAACCAGAGCTGTCACAGAGCTGGACTTGACCATTCCTTATAGACAAAGCAGAAATACAATGCATGTAACAAAAACAGAGGTTTTTAAAAGTTGATAGTTACAAATATGGTATGGAACATTTCCTACTTTATTTCAATACAATTTTCAACATACAGTCTACTATGTTTCCAAGGTATTTGAAGACTTAAAACAAAATTTCTATAGACTACTTGCAAACAGTAAATTTTAAGTAAAATGTTTACATTCTTATTTGAAAACAAAAATCAGGTTTAAAAAAATGTGTGTCAAGTTCTGCTCTCTGTTGCAATCTTCAGACTATTCCTAAAAAGGGAAAAAGAAATTAGAGGTCAATGAAGCTGTGAGTAGTGAATGTTAATGATAATTATTTCTACAAGCTGATCAACTGACTTGCCTGCCACGCTCATACTAAATCAAATCTGTCCAAAATCAGAGAATGTCTACCTTTTCTTCTTTGCGTCTGTCCTTCTTCTCTTCATTATTTTCCATGGTCTCCTCTTCATCTTCAACAATCCCATCCCCTTGGTATTTGTCATGAGTCCATTTTGGACTGCTACCTGATTTTTTGAAATTAAAGCGCCCTCTGCCGCGTTGAAAAGTACCACGACCTCTTCCTCTTTTGGCCCAATAGTCCACACCATCATCTCTGTCATCATGCTATAGAAAGGTTTAAAAAGAAAACACATCAATGAAATGGCTTTCTTATTAAGATATTAATTCAAGTCACACTGCAAGCAATGTGATTCAAAAAACTTTCCCACAAAAATATCTTAAGGACACTACAAAAGCCAGAAAAATGTCACTGTAATACTATAAATAACATTTATTACATGTTATATAAATTATGCCTAGCAGGAAAGATTCTAAAATTCTACACTGAGATTTAAATCTAGATGTGAATATACATCTATCTGCAGCCTAGGAGTTTGAACGGTAAATGACAGCAGAGCCCCATGGCAATTGATCTCAGCTATTTTACAGAAAGTATCGAAGCTATTACATTCCAACTTAATTTTTCATTAGCTGTATTTAAATTGTTACTCTCCAACTTACAAACTGTTCTATTAAGCAAAACAATCTCCAAGGCTGAAAAGTACTTATAAGTTTATAAATAAGTATTCCCATTCCAAAATACAATACAAAAGGCCAAAGGTCTCCCTAACTCATTAATTAAATCTGCCAATTGTAAAATGCAAAGTGAGGCATAACAATGGCCCTCTACAAGAAAACAAGCATAATGCAAATGTCATACTGCACAGCCTTTTAAGTACTTATACTGAGCAACTACCCAACTCGCTAAAATCTTTTAAAATATGTCACAAAGACTTGATTGCCTTTATGCATAACCATTTTGTAAAGATGAACTTCTTGTGCAACTTACAAATTGGAAATATACAGGCAATTACTAAACTGTTTTAAAGAAGAGTTCTCAACTGTTAACAACTAGTATCTTGATAGCTTTATCAAACCTATGAAGATTGCTAGGTGGAGTTGTGTATGATTCCATAAAGAGTGACTTCTGAGATCAACAAGATGTTAGAGACATCAGAAAAGAGTCATTCAAAACAATGTCTATAATTCCATTGTTTCATGCTCCCTCATAGGATTAATACCCTTTTTTTTTTTTTTTTTGATGTGGCATTTATTAGTTCTTGAATTTTAGGAAGAGGCCAAGAAGTTCTGGAGAAAACACCTGCCATTACATCTTCAACAAAAACTAACCCAATTCTCTGAGAATTTACCTCATTCTAATTCAGAGAGCCAGCCTAGAGGGAGCACTAGAGAACAGAATGAGAAGCAAGAACTCAATGGTTCTCTAGTGCTAACTAGGTATGGTAAGACCCTGCTCTAAATACATGTACTCACTCACCCCATCTTTAGAAGCAGGTATGCTGTTGACTATTTACTCCCATCCTATAAAACACCAAGGAACCAAGAAAAATGAAAACTCTTACTGACCATTATCTACAGGCTACGATCCCCACACATCCTGGGGGCAGTAAATGAATGTATCAGGCAACTCAGAGTAGAAATGGGGAAAGGCAGTAGCAAAGCTAGGCGCCTGCCCAATTAGCCACCCTCTTAGATACACGCTCCTGGGAAAGGTGAAGTAACAAGGAAGCAGAACCTCGGGAGACGACGATGTTTCCTTCAGACATCCTAACAGCAACTATGTGAAATTATGGAGACTAAACACACTGTTTTCTCTCCTTTTGCCATTTTCATGTGTGTGTGTGTGGCATGTGTTATGCATGGGTGCTTGGCCAAGGGTGTGTGCATGCCTGCGGAAGGCATGACTAAAGCTGGGAACATTCCTGACAGTTCACCTCTTTCACTGAGGAAGGATCTTGCAAACAGACCCATCAGTGTGGTAGCTATGGCTAGGAGAATCCCTTATCTCCACCGTGGAGGCAGGAATTACACACCACAAACCCAGCATTTGTATGGGCATCTGGCGAATTCCAGCTTAACCACTCAGCCTCCTCCCCAGCCACTCTAAACAGTCTCAATTTTCAAATTCTTACATTCAAATCTAAATTTCCCAATTTTAGTCATTAAACTTTTCACAGGTGACAGTTAAAATGGCTTTTGTTTTTGAAGGAATCTATAATGGACTGAAGCTCTCCTGTATCCTCATCTTTCCCCTAACACAATCCGATTCAGTTATCCAGGTATATATACCCATTCAGGAGACAGGAATCGACATTTTAAAGTTAGCCTGTTCTGCAGCACAAAATCCTGTCTTGAGCTCCCCTAATTAGTTTATAAATTTTTAAAGTATTTTTAAAAAGTTAAATTTCAAAAGTTACTCCAAACCTGACCCCTCCTCCATCACTAAGCTCCTCACTCTAGCAGGAATTAATCATTTACTTTTCTTCTGAAAACTTGCCCTTTTCTGTATTTTCCCACTTGTTCCAACAACTCCTGTTCATCTCTCAGGATCTACCCGACACTAGTGTATTTCCTACAATTCTTATTACTGAGTATCACACCTCTGCAGAAAGCCGAGGTTGGAGATAAGAAACTTAAGAATGTAACAAGCATTACTGTAATTAATCAAGGCAGTATGAGGTCCACAAATCAGAAATTCAGCTTGGAGCATAGTGCACAGACTCAAATACTAACTCCATTCTTACTAGCCCAACGGTCAAACTTCTGAGTAACTTTATCACTCTTCATCTATAATACAGAATAGTCTCAACTCAGAAAGATTTTTTAAACTTTAAATGTTTTTCATGTCTGACAGTAGGGTCACTATGTAACCCATGTTGGCCCCATATTTGTGTCTACCCTTCTGCCTGAATGCTGCGATTGCAGGTATGCACTACCATGCCAGCTTCAATGTTACTAAGCATTAAAATTCTACTGGGTTAAACTTTCTACACTGGTATATTATTGTTAAAGAACCCAAAGAAATGTCTAATTTTAAACCTCATCTTTTTTTAACTGTTATTTTTGCTGGTCTATCTATTTTTAATACAGTCTAAAGTCAATGTACATAAAATGGAAAATATCTGAAATTAAAACACTCTAGTGAGCCAGGTGGTGGTGACGTATGCCTTTAATCCTAGTACTCAGGAGGCAGAGGCAGGTGGATCTCTATGAGTTCAAGGCCAAACCTGGTCTACAGAGAATGTTTCAAGACGGCCAGAG